TGTCGGGTCAAAGAAAAGCAGCTACTTCTTTTATAAAAGTTCAAAAACTTTAGAGCGAAGAAAATCTACTGATGTTACTTGTGGTAGCTGACAGTTGAGTAGCAATGAGGCACTTGTTTATTATGTAGATTCCAAGTGTACTAGTCACTCTTAAAAACAAAAAAGAAAGTGGTCAATGAAAGTAGGGAGTGAAGTATTTCCGTCTTACTATAATTTATGTATATCCAAAAGGTTGTGTTACCCTCCAGAAGAATTTATTTCTATCTCAGAAACACGAGCTGAAATTAAACTTTAAGCCATATTGAATAAATCAACTGAACGTTTAATTGAATCACTAAGCCAATTTCCCAAAAATGTATCCTCTAACTTGTCGCTTACATTAATAAGCAAATGGGGATGTGATGTAAGTTCTGACCACAGTACCTATAAACAAAGATTTGAGAACTCCGATGCTAATGATGAGTTTCTGTTTGTGTTTGCGTCTGTCCCGTTGAGATTAGGTGATGACTCTAATACTATTATTTGGCAAAATTTTTGGCCATCGTCAACACTTTATTGCCGACCAATTAAATTCAAATTTAAAAAAAACAACACAAGAATTTACTGAAATATAGAAACTGACAAAATTTTAAAAGAAATATCTGAACTTCTTCCAACACTGTGTGCTGTTGGTGAATTTAAATTTATTGTGAAACACAATCTATTAAGGCGAGTTTCCACTCATCCGTTTTTCGACGGGAACGGGATAGAAAAGGAAAAAATAATCACATGAGCATGCGTGATAAAGGTTTTATTTGTCCGAAAGAAAACTGCGCATGCTCACGTGATTATTTTTCCGTTCCTTTTCCCTTTCCCGTTGAAAAACAGATGAGTGGAAACTCACCTTTACTTACAATGACAGATAGAAAAGTATGTAATGCTTCAACCGATACGCGCTCTACGCAAAAATGTTATATTTGTGGTGCTACTCCAAAAATGATGAATGGTAAATTAAAAGGTATGGTTGATAAAATAGAAAATTACAATTTTGGTCTGTCTACCTTTCATGCTTGGATACGTACTTTTGAATGTTTGCTACACATTAGCTACCATTCAGACATTAAAAAGTGACAAGTTAGAGACAATGAGGATAAATGTCGTATCAGAGAACGTTCGGAAGAGATTAGGCAAAAGTTTAGAAAACAAATGGGACTTATTGTGGATAGACCGAAACCTCATTATCACAATACAAATGATGGCAACACAGCTGGCAGGTTTTTTTAAAATCCAGATAAGAACGGAGAGATTACAGGATAAGACGTCGAATTAATTAAAAAATGTAGTGTTTTATAAAGAATGCTATTTTCTGACCATGACATTTGAAAAACTTTGTTTTGAAACTAGGACTTTATATCTATATTTATATTCGTGGTATTTTATGCACTATAACATGCCTGTTATAGTGCATAAAATTTTAATGCACAGCACGGAAGTTGTGTATTCTTCCAATTGTAAATATATTTTATATTATAAATAAATTTTTTAATAAATAAATATATAACTTTTTACATCATTTTTTATTATAACAGTGGTTGTTGCAATGAGGGGGAATGGGGAGGGGGGTTTAGGCGAGGGGTTTTCCCCCTATCCTCCGCAATAAAAACTTATAAGTTATCAAAATAAAGGTAATTATTCAATAAAACAACAAAACATTATTTGTTTCAACCTTTCATGACTAGAACAATGGAATTCGTGAACAAACTATTTTTATCAAACTAGATTGTTAGAAACGATTCACTGTGCATCGTCATAATTATGCTAAAGGTGACTAGGAGAATTTAACCTTATATATAGGTAGCATGAATTAGTCTTAACAACTCAAACCCTGCAGTTTTATTTGAAAATTGTACCATGCTCAATGTGCATGGTACAATTTTCTTGAAAGCTTGAATGAGTTTTTTTGTTAAACTATTTTGATACATTTTTTTTTTGGTTGTTTAGTTTTTTAATGGGAATGTATGCTTCTTCGTATATTGATAAAAAAATTCCATTATTTTCCAAACTACTATTTATGTAAAATTTTCTAAAATTTTGCGAGTTTTCTGTGTCACACATTTCGAAGTTGACAAAGGTGAATAACAGGAGCTCAGTAAATTTTGCATTTAAAGTTTACTTGCTAAGCATTTCTAATCTAGTAAAGTAATATAATAAAAAATATAAATCATGAATACTGTGAAACATTTTTCCATATGGATTAGAAACTTGTGATTATAACAATAAATTTCTCAATAAATTAGACGTTGTTGGAAGATCAGCATTAAAACTTCTCTTTAGTATTTTAAAATACAGCAAAAACTGCATACTTTATTACCGATGACGTATCTACCATCGTTTCAAAACAAATTAAATGAGTTTATCAGATTACTGAGCAATCCAATTTGTTTTTCCTCGATTATAACTCAAATGTCTAATGTTATTAGGGATAACTGCTTTATCTACAAAGTAATGAAAATTTTCAACAACCTGGGGCTAAGCTTCATTCAGTGTTTGATTAAGGGGGAAAAAATCATTATCAAATGTCTTAACGATGACGTAAAAGATAATATAGCGGAAATTTTAAACCAGTCCTTTGAAATCTGGGAATTCAGAGAACAGAGAACGATATTCAAAAATTTGATGGAAGAAAGCATTCCAAGAAGAATCTAAATTAGAATTTCAACTTAGAGTGTAAACTATTAGTTTTATGACCTGAAAAGAATAAATTAAAAAATATATTTATAGTTTGAAAAATTAAAAATTATTGATATAAAACATTTTGGGGGAAAATTTAAAGATTATTCATTATATTTTAAAAGATATAGAGTAGAAACTTGTGATTTTTGGTATTTTTTATTGTAATATATACTTTTTTAACATTAAACAATAATATATTTAACTTTTTACTTTTTATTTTACTTTTTACAATAATATATTTAACTTTTTGCAGTAATATATTTAACTTTTATACAATAATATTTTAACTTTAACATTAACTTTTTAACATTAAACAATAATATATTTAACTTTTTATTTTTTATATTTTACTTTTTATTTTTTACAATAATATATTTAACTTTTTGCAGATTATGGCCATGAGCAAAAGGTTAACAATTGCAGAGCGTACTTTAGTGGTGGTTAAATCCTGATTTTATATATCAACAAGACACTTCATGCCACATAACACGGCTAATGACAGCATGCCTTGAAGAGTCGGATGTGTCAATGTTGGTTTTGTCCCAACAGAACCCTGATATGAATCTCATCTTGAGAAATTTTATTTCGCAAGATACAGGGAACAAAACCTGGTTCCGAAAATATAATTTGGCCTAATTCACAGAAGGCCTTGAGGGAAATGGCACAGGCTAAAAAGACGTATGAAGACAGTGACTGTAGCTCATGGACATGCAAAATATTGACATTTTTGAATATTTTATGAAAAAAATATAAAAATAAGATATTTTAATGAATTATTTAAATAATTAGAACTGCCTTGTATATGTACATAAAACGGCGCTATCAAGTCATTTGACTAACAAATAGCTTTTTTCGTCTTTTGGTAAAATTAATATTGATACAAAACGTTAATATTCGCATATTTATAAAAAAATTTCAAGCACCGCGGAGATATTTATGTTTAAAACGAATTATCTTTTACTTTTTGCAAGTAATTGTCCAATTCTTGAAGAAAGCATCGAAATTTTTCTTTTTTTAAATTAAACTCCTCAAAAGTAAAGGGTTGCTCTTCTTCAAGCGTACCAGGTCTTTCATCTATAAAAACAAATTGTTTTAGTTTTATAAATCATAACACAACTTAAGGATTTAATAGCGTACCGTTTATGTCCTAAAAACAAAAACATTTAGTAGGAGATTATGGGATTTATATTTGGACAAACATTGCAGTAAAACAATAAAGTTTTAAAGTAACGCATTTTTAAGAGGGTTTTAATAGCTACACTATTTTTTCAACGACAACCGTCATAATTTAAAAAAAAATTGTTTTGAAAATATTTAAAATAAAACAGAAAATTGTTTAAAAAAATTAAACAAACGATCTGCACAAAGCAAAATCCTTAGTCAATGCGTCAATCGCTAAGTCAGTCAATGTCACTTTGAAAGTATTTAAGTCAGTCGATATCACTTTGAAAGTATTTAAGTCAGTCGCAGTCACTTTGAAAGTATAAAATTAATTGTATAAAATCTTAAGAATTTACTTAAATTATTAATAAAAAGATAATCAATTACCTTTTTTTTTTAATAGCAAAAATAAAAACAGGCTGAGTAATTGAAAAAAGTAACAAAAACTATATACAATCAATATTAATTATAATTTTAATAATAGTTTATGAATGTCCGATATTAACGTGAAATTTAAGAATAAAGTTTATAGATTTTAAACCATTGTTTACAAGTTTATTTACTTTTTTTATTATTTATCAATTAAAAATTATAATCAATAATTTTTTAAACATTGATTTTTCAGCTATAAATAACTGCATAGTAAAAATGAAAAAATAAATTAATATTAATTAAAATAACTTTTTAAGTGATTGTTTTATTAAACATTTAAGTTTCTTTTTTAAGTCCTAAGCAACTAAATTAATTAAATCGACTAATTCTATAGTAGAGAACAAAGTAAGGCACGTTTCTTTTTATCAGAAGGTTTGACACCTTAGATGAAACAATAAAGTTGCACTCACTCACTGGCAATATTGTTTAATATTAGCGCCCAGGAACCCCAGAATTAGACACAATGGAGCCATTGAGCCAGACTCTTCCAAAGATCAATTTATTAAAGTTAAGATTTAGTTAAAATTTTATATCAAATAAACATGAAATTTGTTTAAATCTAACATAAATAGAAAATTCTTCTACGTTTAGTTTAAATCTAAAATAAATGCAGAAGAAACCTTTGTCACTTAAATGAAAGTTGTATAACACTGTGATTTCTAAACATAAACCAATTTTTCACAATGGCAAATGAAATTTTAAGTGAGAAATTGAATCTACCTATTTACCTAGTTATAATAAAACTTCCGTTATAAAAATATCAGTTGTAAAATTAGTTACGCTTAACCCTTTTTTATGTTATAAGTTACGCAGTAATGCAAGCAATGTAATCATTAAAAAAAAATTGTTGGGTATGAAACACTCTATATTATTAATTAACTATTAATAGGTTTTAAATTTTTATTAGATTATTGCATTAACTATAGTTAGAGTAATAAAAGTGTACCTGAAACAAGAATATTATTGTCAAACAAAGGTTGCGTATTAGTCCCTTTTTCTTTTAATTGTGAAGAGATTGCAGCTTGTATAAGAAAATCATCGAAAGAATCATCTATATCACTCATATCAACTGAATCTAAAACAATTAATGAATTGTAAATAAAATTATTAGTCACAAAAAAAAAAAAAAAACTTTAATTACTTTTTTCTTAAACATAATTTCAAATTTAAAGTCAAAGACAAACACGAAGAATTTTTTTATACCAATTATTATTATCTTATATATCTTTATACCACGTAATATATAATAATACGTAATAATACGCGTAATAAGTAGATGCTAATCCTTACCACCTAATAATACGCGTAATAAGTAGATGCTAATCCTTACCAGAACGCTGAGTTACTGTTAAAGGCGAAAGTGGTGCGTCACTGGTTGCTCCAAAATTTGTTTCCACCACTTGAGTTTTCTCTGAAGAACTACTTCTCTGAACTTTAAAATCAATTTTTTTCAATACAGATACATCATTACAATTATTTTTTTCTCCATCATCATTATTGGTGATGTCATTGGGATTTTTTAAAGATATTTCATTATGATTTAACACAGAGGAAATTTCATATTGAAAGTACTTCGATTTTTTTGAAACAACTTTCGAAGATAGATCCGTTTCACTTGCTATAAAGATAACTATAAACTATAAAACCATATAATAAAGTTATAACCATTTAAAACCGTATAAAAACAACTAAAAAACTATTTAAATTAGTATTAATTTAAAAACAAAAAATTGTTTACAACAACAACAACTATACCTGGAGAATACACAGCTCGTTTCTTTGGTAAAAGTCTACTTTTTGAACAATGTTTTCTTGAACCAAAATGTGAAGATGTTGTATCTATTCAGAAATTAATTTTGTTCACTAATTTAACGAACAAAACAAATAAATTCCTTGTAAATTAAAAAAATAAGCATTATTCTATAGCAACATAAGAGTAAAAACAAACAAGAATATGCAGAGACAACATACAAACAACAATGTTAAGAAATTAAGAAATTTAGATTAAATTAAGAAAAGCAAAAATTACAAATAAATTTTTAAATTGATAAAATGTTAAATAAACTTTTACTATAGATCAAATATAACAATTACAAGTTGTTTATAACTAATGTAGTTAACACCTCTGAGAATAATAACAATAGCAATAATATTTATTTAATAAAAATAAATTAATTTTATAGTAATTTTAACTGAAATGTTTTGTAATATAATGACTGTGAAAAAACATTTTTTTTATTATAAAAAAAATTACCTTTTTTTTTACCATTTTGTGAAGCTACTGGTATGACATCATTAATTAATAAAATATTACCTTTCTTTGTATCATTTTGTAAAGCTACTGGTATGACATCATTACCTAAGCATATTAAAATACTAGTATTAATTTTTACTCTTTTCATTTTAATAAGATGGTAAATATAAGATGGTGATTCTGAATTATTTTCTCAATTGGTTTTTTTCATTTTGTTAGTGGTAAATTTTTAAAATTAACATATCAAAAGTTTATAGTTATAAGTCTGACATGCTGTTGACAAATCAAGGTCTTGTGCACATTATAAACACCTTCTTGTTACTATGTTGTTATTACATAACAAGGCCATTACCATAAAAGTGTTTTTAACCATCCTGTATGATATACAGAAAGTTCCAACATACTTTTTAATTTTTTTGGATTGAATTTTTTATTTGTACTATTTGTTTAATTTTTAAAAAACTCATAGCTAGTATGTAATGTATAATTATATTATTATAACTTGAATGCTCACATCAACCAAGTTGATGTGAGCATTCAAGTTATAATAATATAATTATACATTACATACTAGTTATGACAAGACTTGTTGGAGGTGTGCCTCAAGGCACACCTCCAACAAGTCTTGTCAATTCACCATTTTTAATACACTAAACATATGATCTTTTATAGCTTCTGACACTAAAAGTGGCTCAAATCAAATTACTTCTTTTAATTGTCCAATTACAATCTTTATGTTAGTTAGAATAATGAAGTGCAATCTTTTTTGTTTTATCAAACTTCCTAATGAAAAACTCACTGCACTTATGTATGCAACAATTAATACTTTCCTATCAGTCATAAAATCAGTTTACTATTATCTCAAGGAATCTCATTTATTCCACAGCCCAATAAAAAAAACAGGTTTTTGCATTTAAGAAAATAACAACTAATATTTTTTGAAAGATAAAACCAGTTTAAATGGTTTTACCAATTTTTATATGAACAACAAAAAAAATAATTTAACTTATACGAATATATGAGATAAACATCAGAACAAATGAATCCTATATATTTGGACATTAGTCTTTCATGTATTATTAAAATAACTTAAAAGTTATTAAACAACTTTGAGAAAAAGTTTGACAACTAAATACAAGTTTAGGTCTTCAATGTTCTAATATGGTCACAACAATTCTGTAGCATATTTATAATTTTTTGAAAAACTAATTAATCTTACCAGAAGGAACCATTTTAACCATAGACATAGATTGAATTTTATACATCAGTTTATCTCTATATCGAGCCTTCATAGATTGCCATGAGTGATTTGTGATCTAATTTTCAAAACATATTCTAAATTTAAAGTATATTTTTTTATTTAAAATTACCATCATCATTATCATCATCATCATCATCATCATCGATGATAATCGCCATAACATCATGATTCTCAACAATAAAGTAAACAACAATTTTTTTGTTAAAAAACAGGTGCTAATCAAATTTGGTGCAATTGTTCTACAAAACCAAAAAAATTTAGCTACACCATTTAAAAGTTTGGCTACACCATTTAAATGCAGTGTTTTTTCTTTTTTACAATATATAAAATCAATCCAACATTCATTCTATAAGTAGTTTTTCAATCAATCAGTCAATGTCTAAAACAATTAAAAAGTAAACAAATATGGCAAGTACAAATGTTAAACACCTAACAATAATGATGGTATTATTCATGATAAATATAAAAATAGAAATAACAACAGAAATTATAACAATTGCAACAATAATTAAAATAAGTCACTTAGAAGTTTTTTTTAGATAAAATTGTAACAAACAAATACAATTTCTTTAAAACTTAAAAAAATTTGAGCTTTAATGAAGAAATCAAAGAAATTTCAGTTTATTAACTACTACTACTATCATATAAATCCAAATATATTTTATTACTGACTCAGCAAATTAGCGACAATAGAAAATAAACTGAACTAAACCCAAGTTTACATAAGTAAAAAATCAATAAAAAAGTAAAAATCTTTTTGTAAAATAAAACCTTAATCTTTAAATTTTTTCTTTTTTCCGAAAATCAAATACAAGCTCTTCAATATTTCTGTGAGTTGCTGCTGATTAGATGTTTTTACTTGCAGAGACAAAAAAGATTCTTGTAAAAAAGCAAATTGGATGGAAGAATAATTTAAAAGAATTAAAAATTTCTTTATTATCAAAATAAAATTGAACCTTTTAAGCGACAGCTTAACTCAAAATAAAATTGAATCTTTTAACGACGCTAATTTCAAAATAAAATTGAACCTTTTAACGACAGCTTAACTCTGTGATCAGAGAAAGAAAAAATTTGATTTTTTAATCTATGATACTCATTTTGACATACCTTATTATAAAACGGCAGCGATCGCTCAGCGCACGGGAGCTCCGCTCAAAAAATGGAATACGTAGACGTGATAAACGTTACTAACTTAATAACAAGAGTATAAAATTGCGCTCTCAAGAATTTTGGAAGAAAAAACAATATTTTTGATAAAGTTTTTGTTATTATTACATATTGTTAAAAATATGTTAAAATAAAAATATATATAACTAATCGTTACACATAATTATTAGTTTTTTTATTAGATATAAAACATTTAAGTCAATTAAAGATCGTTTTTTAAATACTTTTACATCATTTAGTTTAAAATGCGGGTTTCCGTTTCGTACAAACAATTAATAGAAAGTTTTATAGCTAACAGTTTGTTTTAATTGTTTCAAAACTTATTTTAAAACGAAACGTTTTCAGCAAACGTTTTAACAAAATTAAATAAAAAACGTTTTTTATTAAATTTAAAACGTTTGTTAAAAATGTTGTGTAAATAATAATAAACGTTTTTTATTCAATTTCTTAAAAACGTTTTCTACTAACGTTACGAATGAATACTTTTTAACAAACATTTGAAGAATTTTTACGTAGAATAAGTTTTTAAGTTTTATGTTTTAATGACGAAAAACATTAATTGTTTTCATTTTAAACTAATTTAATTTTAATAATTAGAAGAAATTATTAATTAAATCAGGAAATACTAAAAAATTACCCGTTTCTAGCTAAAGTTAAAGCCGTTAAAGCTAGCATTGTAATATTAATAAGTTAATAGATCATAGCAATAACAAAGAATAGAAATAAAAAAGAAATTATTATTATTCTTTGTAATGCTGATGATCGCTCTTGATGACTTGATTTTCTTTATAAGACCTGCTCATGTTAAGATTGTTGTTACTTTGTTTTTCAAAAAAAATTCTTTAATTTAGATAGATATCAAACTGCAGTACACCAAATTAACTAATATTAGATGATCATATCTACCATATAAATGTAAATTATCATATTAAGCCTTCCAAGTCATTGTACCAATAACACTTAATTGAATAGCACAATGTCAAAATAATTTTTCGTTAAAAACCCTGGTAAAACTTAATAATGATACAACTGGGCTAAGATGCTTCAGCGGACATCTTGACAAATTTTTGCTGCATACAAATTTTGGGTTAAAATCAAGTTTGATTAAATATTTTAAAAACTGATTAGTAGATAGAAATAATCCAGAAAAATTACCACTTTTGATTCTGATAAACAAGCAGTTTATATTTAACTCCTCTGTCAGCGCTGAGGTAATCTAGTCAAGCGTTTCAAAAAAATTAGTTTTATTGTTAACAAATCTGTGTTGCTGTGTAATCAGGTTGTTATTAATCAAATAAATCATCACTATTTACTGTTTATAAATAATCATTATTGTTTATTGTTTTTTCAACTTTTTTTCAAACTATCGCGGTTAAAGAGATTTGCATTTTCTATTTATGTACTAGTGACAAAAAAAAAAACATGTCTTTTAAAAAACTTTAAACTTATTGTTCAGGTCTATGCTCCAGTTTTGACTCAAATTTTAGTTGTTTAGTTAACAACTAAAACTTTCTTTTAAATAATTTTTCATACCTTTACTCTTGGCTGAGTAGAGGCTAGACATGGTGTCTAAAAATTCTCATCTCGGGTAAATGTTAATTGCATCCAGCTAAAATTCCATATGCTTTGGGATTCTTGATTTACTGAAGTCTAGAGATGGGGACTTAATAAAAATACTCATCTTGGGCAGATGTTAACTGCATTCAGCTACTGTCTTGTAGAAGGCCACCTAAGCAAAACTTTAGGGGTGAACAGAATAATTCTGTTGACCAGCTTCAAACCACTTTTTCATTTATTAGGCAAGCTTAGAAAAACTTGTGTTACATTGTTTCCTACCTAGAATGATAAATGCTGTACCTTCTTGACTCTTTCTTATATATCTTTCTTTAATATTAATATTATATTTAATATAAACCTTTCTTGACTCTTTAGTTTGTGCCTCCTTGATAGTAGCTATACAACTCTTCCAGTTATCTATTAACGAGAATACAGCTCTAAAACTCACTTTAATGGTTCTAAGGCTGGCTGGTGGTAAAGTTTCTGAACTCTGTGGTAGCTCTCAGAGAAGCTAATTCCATCAACAGCTGCAAAATATCAAAGTATCAACAGTACCATGTTGCATATGGATAGTGCCCCTATTAATGGTTTTGGTGCGCATTTTCATGGCCAAATTAGGAGTCCAAAGTTACTACTTTAGGTTAACTAGCAGGATTGAGACAACTGTATAGCTCATTGCTTGGGATGCTGTGCTCTATCCAGGGGTGTAGAGTCGTAAAAATAAAGTACTGACTCCAACTCCAACTTCGACTCCAAAGCAAAATTTTTGAAAAATGCTTTGAATTCTTTAAAAAATATTACATAATAATTGAAAATTTTTTTTTTGGCAAAATATATGAAAAGTTATTTGAAGGTTAAATATTTTTTAGACGTACGTGCAATACCGAGAAGTTTTACTATTAGAGTCAGATTAAATTCACCTATTTGTTGTGTGCTTCCGCTTAGCAACTCTTTACTCTATTACCTTTCTTTTTGTTCTTTATCATTCTTTATCTTTTTAACACTGCACTCTTTTAGATGTAATTTCTGATCAAATTGACTATGCCTTTTCTCTTTATTTCTCTGCCAATAATGTTGTTATTGGAGACTTTAATGCTTATCACACTGAATGGCTTGGCTCTAATGCCACTGAACCTGCTGGCACAAACGCCCATAACTTCTATGTTTCTTAATCTCTTACTTAGATAATTAACTTTATGACTCATTTTTCACACAATCCTTATCCCTTACCTTCACTCCATGATTTGTGTCTTGTCTCTGAACCTATTTTGTGTTTAATTTCTTCTTTTACTCCTTCAAGTGGTTCTGACCATGCAATGATCTTTATAAATCTTTCATCTCATACTCCTTCTTCAGACTCACTCTACCATCAACTTCTTTGGACTCCCCCTATTATTGTACTACTATCCTAAAGCTGACTGGGATTCTTTTTTGTGATTTTCTTTGCAAACAGCCTTTGGGTCAATGTCTTTTCACTTTTTGCTGATAAATGTATAGCTTATTTTGATACAGACAGGAATGGAAGCTTTTATTTCTACTAGCTGGTTTTAAGTCAAGCCTCATTCTATTCCATGGTTTTCACCTTATTGTGCAGCTGAAATATCTAATCGTAATCATTTTTTCTTCATCTTTTTCAAAAGAACATCTCTCTTGTGAACAAATGACTATTTATTATTGCAAGAAACTTTTCTTTAAATTCCAATTCCAGTTAAACAAGTCAACTCATTATTAAACATTCAAATCATTCCAGCTTCTGTTGCTAAAGTCATATTTCGATAAAACTCTTCTACGGCTTGTGGTGCAGACAACATTCATGTCATACTCTTACAAAAGTGTTCTCCTGAACTCTCTTCAATTCTCTCTAAACTATTTAATAAGTGCTTGATTGAATCTTGATTTCTTGCTAGCTGGAAAAAAACATTTTTGGTTCCAATTTTTATCAACAAATTAACATCCCATCTTGAGTCAAATAAATTACTATCAGACATTCAATATAGTTTTCGGTCTTCTGGCTGATCACGGCTGATTTCCTTACTACTGTGACTGAAAGATTTTATTGTGCATTAGATGAAGGCAGAGAGACTAGGGCTATTGATATATATAAAGCTTTCAATAAAATTTGGCATACTTCTTCATTAGCTTGCTTCATATGATGTATCTGGGAAAGTTTTTGAGATTATCATATCTTTATTTTTTTGAACTGCTTTATTAAAGTCATCTGCAAAGGCCAACACTCTTCTTTATTTCCAATAACTTCTGGTGTACCTCAAGGTCCTATTCTTAGTCATGTTTTGTTTCCTATCTACATCAATTCTACATAAATTTTATTTTTTTACTTTTTAATAATATAATAAAGTAATTCATACACATTCTACAATTCTACATAAATCTACATACAATTGTTTCCTATCTACATCAATACAACAACCTTACATTTAGTGGCTCTATTTGTTGAGGACTCAACTTTATACTCCTGTCTTGACAAAAAGTCTTCTTTTTTGAATCACTTAGAACAGGTAGCTGATCTTGAGTCTGATCTCACTTCTGTAACAGATTGGGACTAACAGTGGATTGTAAATTTTAACTCCAACAAAACTCAGTTATTTACTGCAAACAACTATCGCAATGCTGATGACATTCTGATATTGATGAATGGCAACTCTCTCACTAAATCCTCTAATTTACATCTTTTTGGAATATTGTTTACTAATGACCTATCATGGAAATCATATATACAATCGATTGCTAAATTAAAATCTGATAAGGTTGCTTCTCTTTATTGTGCTTGTTTTTTTCTTACCCCTGAATCCATTCTCACCCTACAAATCTTATAAATTTATTCGTCCCTTTATGGAATACTATTGTCATTTTGGGCTGGTTCTAATAATGCTCTTTCTCTTCTAGACAAGGTCCATAAATGCATTGTAAAAATAGTTGGACCTAAATAGTCCTGGTCTATCTGCTAAGCTTGAGCCTCTTTTCCATCGACGCAAAGTTGCATCTCTTTCTCTTTTTTACAAATACTATCATAGTCACTGCTTAAAGGAGCTATCATCTCTAGTTCCATCAACTAAAACTCATTCTCATTTTATTTAAGTCTCATTCATTTACTGTATTTGTCCCGGCATGCTCTAAAAACTTTTATTTGTCTAGTTTTTTTCCCAGCATTTCAGCCCTTTGGAACTCTCCCCTGTCTTAATGTTTTCTTGACTCATACAAACTACAACTTCTTAAGTCTTCTGTCAACAGTATCATTTTTCTTTAACTTTATTCTTTGTTTTCTAATAACTCCCAACTGCAATTAGCCACTTTTAGTGGCTATTTGCAGTCTTGTTCGGAGTGAAACTGATTAAAAAAAATAATTAATCTAATCAAATATATAATATATAAATAATATAAATATATAATATATAATATATAAATCAAATACAAATAATTTACTTTAAAAATAAAAACTTTTTCAGTTTTATGCACATACATAGTATTTTCAAAATACAAATATAAACAATACTACTACTGAATATACTAGCAACCTCCATAATAACAATACTAGCAACCTCCATATAAAAAAAAACATTAAATACATTACTTTTCTACTTAAAAAAACTTAAATAATTGATTTACATAGACCTTTCTCAAGTTATATCACTTTTAAATTTGACAATTTTAAACAATGACTGTGCCAGATTTGAATAAACAACAACAACAACAACAACAACAACAACAACAATAATCACTTAAGAGACATTAGAAAAATTATAACAAAAATCTAAATAATTTTAGACAAAATAATAATGTATAAATTTAAATATAGATAAATTTAAATAAAGATAAATTTAAAAATAGATATAATATTAAAAATAAAAATATATGTAATATATAAAATATATGGGCGTGGTCAGTCATAATGGAAGTAATAAGAACTATATATAGATATAATCTAACATATAACATACGGAAGCAGTCAAATTAATAGGGTACTTGTTTGGTTTATTATGATTTTGACAAAAGCTTGAACAAAAAGTTATACTATTAGTTTTGCAAAAATTAATTTTTGCAAAACCAATGTTTAAAAATAGCATTCATTAATTTGTTGTTTAATACCTGCTCTCTTTCTAATTGGTGCCAAATTGCATCTCCTTTAGCACTTCCTGGGCCAAAGTCCTTTATCTTATTTTTCTTAAGATAAACAATAATTGCCTCATCATCATCCTCAGTGTAAGGAACACGACTAATAAAATTATAAAAAATCTAATTAATTATACATAATAAAAAATTTTATGATCAATATTATAATTATGAAAATAAGTCCTTGCAGATAAAAACATATTGTCTACATAGCTTTGTTTACATTCTGAGACAATGATACTAAGACAATATATAAGTGATATAAAAATACAAAAGTATTTTTATGTAAATTTAACAATTAAAGTAATTACCTTTAATTGTTAAATTTTAACAATTAAGGATCAAAGTTAAAAAACGTATTTTCATTACATTAATCTTTTTAACCACATACTAAGTAATAAATTGTTTATATGTTATGAATGCTTATGAAATTTAAATTTATGATATATAGGATGAGACCAACTCTTAAATGAAAAAGAAGACCTGTACATAATTCTTCTAATTCTACTCATACTTTGGTACAGAAAAGCAAATTTGGTGGTGCAAGACAGGAAGAGAAAGAGGAAAGATAGATCTTTAATATATTTTTCTTAGACATTTTAGGCAAAAACTGATTTTTAAAATTTACATTTTTTTTTTGTTGTTTTATTTTTTATTAATTTTATTTTTCACAATTTTTTTTTAAATTCTAAATAAAGCATTTTTTTACTCCCTAATATTTTACTCCAACATTTTGACGACTCACTTAAAAAAACAACAATTGGATTTAAAATGACAAAATATCGTAATTATATATATATATATATATATATATATATATATATATATATATATATATATATATATATATATATATATATATATATATATATATTTCATTTATTAGGTATACTTCGGGAGAGCTATTTGATGGTAGTTTTATTTTGTTTAAAAAGTTAGCGTAGGTATGAATTTAGATGATGGTCAATATATAAAAATACAAATCTAAACGCCATATTTTTTATACTTATGTAACATTAAAGAAGCCCAATTAAAGCAAACTTTATAGAAGCCATTAAAAAGTGAAGTTACCGTTTGTTTGTAATTAAATATAATTAATAGTTTGTAATCAAAGCTGAAGATGTAGTATCATAAATCTAGCAAAATTTTTTTTAGATTAAATTAAGAAAAGTTAGTATTGAGATTAAATTTGTATTCATTGATGTTTATATATTAAATTAATTCAACTCTCATACAAGATGTCATCATTCAAAATGTATATGTATAAACATTTATATATGTAGATACAATTTTTCAATTATTTCAATGATATCGCAAATGGCAGATGTTTTTATTTAACGGTAAAAAAATGAAAGAAATAAAATGAAGAAAAAAAATCAAAATACCATTTTAGAAATATCAAATTATAAATCAAAATGAAGTAAAAACAAGATCAAAAGATATAAACAAATAAAGATAAAAAACAAGTCAAAACGCTGTTTTGACTTGTTTTTTATCTTTATTTGTTTATATCTTTTGATAAAAAAATAGTTCGAAAATGTAAAGTAAAAAAACAAAAAAACAAAATGAAATACGTTAGTCTGCTAGAAACAATAATGTCATTGAAAGAAAAAAGCAAGAAAAAATTTTTAATTTTTGTTTATATTGATGTGGATTTTTATTGTTATATTTATGTCGTGTATTTTTGAGTATTAACTTTGTTTAATGCATTTTTTACTTTTATTAACCTTAATTTTATGTATAATAAGTGTTTTTTAGTTTATATTTTCTTTATTTGTTTATTATACTTACAATAAATTTGTGTTATTATATTACAAAAACTAAAATTATTATATTTATTCTTTATAGTCTTTTATCAATAGTCATTTTTATGTCATTGTTATTTTTTACAATTTGTCAGTTTGTATGGAAGATTGTATTGATTTAATTCTTTTAGTTACTGGTTTTTATAATTTTTGTTGACGTAATTAATGAACAGCCTTCTATTAAATATTTAATAACTCCGTTATATATGTATTGCATTTATTATTATCATGTTTTTATTTTAATCATTATTAGTGTTAATTATACTTACTGGTAATATTATTATTGTTATTCTTATTATTATACAATTAATTACTTTTATTATTGTGCTATTGTTAATTTATTTCTATTTTTATTATTATTATAACTATATGTATCTACATTATGTTTTATATCATCAAAGAGGTTTTTACTTTATATTAGTTTTTATAACTATTTGTAAACAACTGTGGAAATTAGATCTTTTTTCCAGAATATGTAAATGATTGACTGATTGATTGATACATTTATATATGTAGACATTTATATATATAGACATTTATATATATATATATATATATATATATATATATATATATATATATATATATATATATATATATATATATATATATATATATATATATATATATATATATATACATATATATATATATATATATATATATATATACATATATATATATATATATATATATATATATATATATATATATATATATATACATATATATATATATATATAGATATATATATATATATATATATATATGTATATATATATATATATATATATATATATATATATTTGTATATATATATTTATACATATATATATACATATATATATATATATATATATATACATATATATATATGTATATATATACATATATATATATATATATATATATATATATATATATATATATATATATATATATATATATATATATATACATATATACATATAAACATGCAGGCATGGATCTAGCATTTTTTGATGCTTGAGATAACATTCAGTTAACTTTCAGATATGGAACAAACTCCAAAAATTTATTTTTTTACTTAATTCAAATAAGGATGATTTGCTAAAAAGCCCTAAAATTTTAGCCACAACTGCCTCAAACAAGAGAACACAAATTAATAAATATTTTTTGTACTAAACTTAAATAAACTTATATTCATCAATAAATTCTAAATTTTGTAAAATAATCTCTTACTGTTCAAAAATTATGACTTTACAAAGTTTGAACTCCTCTCAATTTGAGGAGGCTACAGATTTTATAAGGTTATAATTTTTGAACGCTAAGAGAATATTTTACAAAATTTAGAATTTATTGATGAATATAAATTTATTTAAGAATAGTACAAAAAATATTTTATCAATTTGTTACTTTCACATTTGGGGCAGTTGTGGCCAAAATTTTAGGGCTTTTTCGTTCCCAAGCACCAATCATCACATTTTTTTGAAAAACATCCTTATTTAACATAAGTATAAACATAAATTTGTGGGGTTTGTTCCATGTCTGGAAGTTAGCTCAAACATTAAAAAAATGGTGGATCCACCCCTGATATATATATATATATATATATATATATATATATATATATATATATATATATATATATATATATATATATATATATATATATATATATATATATATATATATATATTGAATATAAAATTAAAATAAAATATCTTACCCTTTCATAGTTTTTTTTCTTCAAATGTATTTCTCCATAGATAAATAACAAGACATATTAACAAATAGCCATAAAAATGAAAATTGTTTTTAAAATAAAAACTCTATTACAAATTTAGTAAATCTCCATCTTTATTAAACAAAAAAAAATTATGTTTAGAAAATTTCATCAAGAACAATACTGCATAAATGCAGCAATAATTAAAAATTAAAATGATGCAATGTTTTTGTAAATATAAGAGCAACTTTAAATTGTAGAATAAAATAATCACAAAAACAATGTTAAATTTTAGGCTATGGGAGATAAAACAATGTTAAATTGTAAGCTATGGTAGAAAAAACAAAGTTAAATTTCAAGCAGTAAAAAAAAAAAAAAAAAAAAAAAAAAGTTAAATTTAAGGCTATAGAAGATTGGAAGATGAAATAATGCTAAATTGGAAGATAAAATTTTTAAAGCTATGTAATATAAAACAATGTTAGAATGTAAGCTATAGAAAATAAATCAATGTTAATCTGTAAGCTATGTAATATAAAACAATGTTAGTTTGTAAACTTTGAAAGATAAAACATATAATTGATTAACTCAGATTACAAAATGTAAAAAATGACACACAAAAATGTTAAATTAAAACATGAGGAGTAATGTAGAATGTTTCATATCAATAATATGTTATGTGTCAAATCTTTTTAAAAATCTTTGATATATACTGATATTTAAAATATTAGCTATATTATTATCTAGTTAATGTGTTCATTGATGGCCTACTTAAATACACGGCCAGACTTGATGCTTATAAGTCTGAAAAACAATAAGAAAGTTTTTAAGATATAATTATTATTTATTGAACTAATATTATCCAAATATTAAAGCAAAAAAATATATATATATAACTTGAGGAAAATATATAAGCACAAAAAAATGCAGCTATGAAAAAACATAACATATCAAAAAATAAAATAATTTTAATAAAAAATACAAAAGCAAAACTTAGTGCATCATAAACTAGCTTTAGAGAAAGATGGCAGCTATAGATAAGCAAATCAAAACAAAAATTAAATATTCAGAATCCAAACAAAAGTGCATCTATAGCAAAAATAAAGATAATAAATTAAGTTTATTTTTTGTTGTGTCAATTTTTAAAGGCTTCTAATTCATCTTTTCAATTTTTCTAATTTCATTTTTTCATTTAAATTGGAAAGATGAAGTAGAAGTTTTTATAATAATGAATAATTAAAAATTATTCATTATTATAAAATATATTAATAATAGTAATGTGAACATTCTGTCTTCCTCTTAAATAGTCAGAACACAGAAAACAAATGTTATTTTTGAACAGTTAAAGTGCAGCTAGAGATGAACATTTCAAATTGTTGGAATATTAAATCTTTAGTGATGTCTAATGAAAAATAAGGAACAAACATATTCTACTATGTTTTGACTAGGTCCAGTTAAACCTCCCCATTAGAGTATATTCATATAAAGTGAAGATATTTTGTTAGTTTGAAGAAGAATTTGACAAAAAGAACACTTAAATTTGGATTTAATTTTTTTTGTTATATACCAGCAACATGAATAACAACTTCTTTTGAACTTTCACATAAATCATATTCTTCTATTTCATTTCGTAATAAAAGTAAAGCTGTTTCTAATTCTTTTGCATCATTATTTACTGGTACTTTATTATTAAACTATGTATTTAAAGCCAGAGTTTCTTTAATTAGAGAATTTATACTGATTATTTTTTCAGAACTTTCAACTTCACACAAACTAACTAGAAACCTTCCACCACTTATTTGCCTAAGTTTCCGAAAATGTTTTTCAAGAGAATCAGTTTGAAATCTGCTGGTTAAAATGTAATCAAATCTTTCTGATAGTGAATCTTTGATTAAAGATGGAGTTCCTTTTAATGTGACAATGAGTGCATTTGATGTGACAATTTGTGACATCCCTGTAAATTTGTATTATACCATTCTTTCACATATTGAGCAAAAGCATTTAAAAATTCAGGTTTTTGATCATTTGCAATAACAGCACTTCCTATGTTATTATTAGTATTATATAAATTCTTTGAACTTGAAATTGTCCACCAAGTATTTATTAAATATAAGAAATTAGCAGCACTTATTTCGTTTGGAAAATAACTTTTAATGGCAGAATATGTTGACTCATGGAAAATTTGCAAAGCGAGCTTAACACTTTGTTTATTTTTTCCTGGATGTAAATCAGTTGGAGTAAGTTTGTAAGCTTTCTTTAAATAAGCAGGCAATAAGTTATCCTTTTCATTACCTTAGTGAAATAACTGTCAACGAATATCTCCAGCTTAACATTAATTGAATCTTTAAATTTATCAAAATTGATGTTGGAAAAATAAACCTTTTTAAATGTACTAGATTATTTCTGATGTTTTTAAAAATATGTACACTATAAAATGTGTAAATTTTATTTTGTCCGTAAAAAATTTCTGTAGAATTGTACTTTTTTATGAGTTTTTTAAATGCAATTTTTAAATTTTTTAAACGGTTGAATGGTCTGTGATGATAGCACGAATTTTAAAATTAGCACCAAAAAGATTTGTTAGACATTCTTCAATTTCAGCCATCTAATTTCCAGAAATATTTGTTTCAGAACATGCTTTAACAGCAAAAGGTATAGAAAGTTTAATACTAACCAACATAAAAAACTACAACTCCTAAATAAAACTCTCCGTTCTCATCTTTTCCAACAAAATTACCTCTACGATATTGAACATTTTTTTGCAAGTTTAATTTCATCAATTAACAAAACTTTTTTCTTCTCTTAATAAATATTTTAATGCTTTAATTGGATCGATTCCACCTTGAGTTGATGCTTTTATATATGAAAATGAAGGAAAAGGAAATTCATCTAATAACAAGTTGTAGGCTTGTCTAGAGGTATATCATAAAGCTAATAACAAGTTGTAGGCTTGTCTAGAGGTATATCATAGAGCTAATAACAAGTTGTAGGCTTGTCTAGAGGTATATCAGAGAGCTAATAACAAGTTGTAGGTTTGTCTAGAGGTATATCATAGAGCTAATAACAAGTTGTAGGCTTGTCTAGAGGTATATCATAGAGCTAATAACAAGTTGTAGGCTTGTCTAGAGGTATATCATAGAGCTAATAACAAGTTGTAGGCTTGTCTAGAGGTATATCATAGAGCTAATAACAAGTTGTAGGCTTGTCTAGAGGTATATCATAGAGCTAATAACAAGTTGTAGGTTTGTCTAGAGGTATATCATAGAGCTAATAACAAGTTGTAGGTTTGTCTAGAGGTATATCATAGAGCTAATAACAAGTTGTAGGTTTGTCTAGAGGTCATAGAGCTAAAGCAAACTGAATAAGTTCATTATATAATTCTCTCCCATGTGATTCATAATACATAAAGCTAGAAAATTCGCTTAAAATATTTTTTTTACTTTATTCAACCCGAATTTTCATATAAGAAACTAAATTTTCAAACATGCTTACACTTGTCAGTGAACACTTATTGATTTGACAAAACCACTGGGGAAGAGGTATCAAATTTCCTTTATGGTATAATTTTACATGCAGATTGGTATCAACATTAATGCTTTTAATGTTAACTGATGATGTTATATTTTCAATAATAACTCAATGATAAATAACGCCACCAGATATTTATTTAAATAAAAAATTTTGAGAAAAAACTTGTTCTGTCAAGTCATTGATTAAACAAATCTTATATGAAGTTTGAATGAGAATAAGGTCTTTTTGTAGGAATCTTTCTTAAAGTTGTAAGTGTAGGAAGTAAAGATAGCTTTAAAAAACAATCTTTATTTGTATGAATTGTTGGAATAGGATTCTTTATAAAGTCTAGTGTATCTCCTTTGCTTCGTTTAATATTACAGAGAATTTAGATAGTATCCAATTAATTATGTTTACAAACTTGAGCATACATCTATGTCTTAGCATACATCTGTCTTCGGAAAAATTAAATATTGTTTTAGTTATAAAACCTTCTTTAGTATTGTAATTTTTTTTCTTATTGTAACCGCTTCTGCAAGCAACTACACAGCACTTTTTAGGCATTTTATAAGATAAACAAATAATATAAAAATGTAAAATAAAAGTTTGTTTTTATTCCAATAACCATAGTTACCATTTTTTTTTGAGAACCATTTTAAGCAAATAAAGAACTTGACTAAAAACTGGTCTACTAATTATGGGACTTGTAGGCAACAAGTCCGGTTGTGTATTTAAGTAGGTTATGGTTCATCATGTTATACATTGTGTCATATGTGTGATAAAATAAATGAAATGCAATTTCATTTATTTTATCACACTTATTGATAATATACATGATGATGATAATATGCATGATACCAAAAGTCTAAAATTAGTTTGACTAATATAACCCAACACTTTAAAAAAACAACAAGTTAAGCAACAAGTTTATTTCACTGCAACAATTTCACTATTAATACAATATCACAACAATCTAAAACGCTTGTGTTTTTTTAATTTATTTTATAGTTTTAATAACATCTTCAATTTCTACTTTTGATAACATGTGAAACTTGTCTTTTATTGTAATAGTTGCCATCTAAATAAAATAAAAGTTTTATTTACTATTATATAAAACTAATACTACTATTTATAAATTATAACACTAAAATGATAATTTCACTATAAATAATAACACCATAAATAAAAGCATTATAAATAATAACACTATAAATGAATTGATAACTTGAAAAAGGGGACATGTCCTGCAAAAATTCACATAACATATCCCCTTTTTCAAGTTAGATTCAAATATAACATAAAACTAGAATAAAAGTGGATATAATTGAACAGCATGTTAAGTTAAACAACTTTTTATTTTATTCTATTTTTTATGAAATATCTTTTAAAAGGATAACCATTTAAAAATTTTTTTTTGCAAATTTTTGGAACAACCATACTGTATAAAACTGTTTGGTTATTAATTAAACAAATTTAACATGAGTTAAAAAGAATTGCTAGGAGTAAATTATTTTAACTATTTAACTTCCTAGTTTTGGAAATAAAAACTTTTAACACTAAACTTAAAATGTAGTTTTTTAGTAAAAATTCTGCTGAAATGATCCTTTTTTTAGAATTGAATTTACAATACAAAACAAACTAATTTATTTACAAATGGTAAACCAGGCAAAGCTTGGTACTATGCTTTCATTAAATGTTGGAAACATAGATTAATCTAGAGAACTGTAGGTAAAATTGTAACACTCAGAGCAGCTTGTTGTACTGATAATAATGAATACTTCAATACATCCAAGACTTAATATCTTGAAGTAAACATCAATGAATACCTGAATCAAATGTTTGGAATTTTGATGAAATTGGCTTCAATGATGAAAAGGGTAGTCAAACAGTCTTCTGCAATGTGGTTATAACTAACTGTGAAGACAAGTAACTTCCTCATAAAATAACTAGAAATGATAAAAAAATTAACTACACAGTAAGCAACTGTGTAAATGCTGCTTGAGTTGCACTTTGACTATTTATAACTATTAAAACCAATTATCTGGCAGTAAATTGGTATACAGATGGTTCAAAAAACACCAAATATACAACTTCACTATTAGGTTGGATGCATGTTTGATTAAATATTTATTCTAGCATTCAAAATAATTTCTGGTACTCGTGTGTTAATACATAAGGACCACAGTTCGCACGTGATACACCAGGTTGCTTTACTTTGTATTGAAAACAATTTCAAGTTCATATGTCTACTGGCTCATTCATAGCACATTTATGATGCCTTAAGATGTTGGAGTTTATTTCCACATTAAAAAGGTTTGGTGCCAAATATTAAACAGGTATTTTGCTAACTCACAATACTTAAAAATACTTTTGTTCATCTCCAATCAAAACTCTTTAATTACAGTAAATGTTTCACGCATCTTCTAATCATTGTGGGATTCAAAACATAGGCTTATTTCTACTAGGAATAAACAAAGGGGATAAATGTAAATTACAAATGACAAAATATTTTAACTACCAAAAGCCAATCGATCTTTTCACAAATGCTCACACTTCTTTTCGCACTGTTTATAACATCTACCAGCTATAACTCAGCTAACCGATCTAATCAATAATAGTTATTTATCCAGACACACTATTCTCAATCAATAAGTCTTAATAAATTGTAAAAAATCTAAAAGCAAATGTTGATCTAATTTAAACTGCTACTAAAGAAAACAGAATTACACTTGAAAATACATTATAAGAACAATTAGAAGTCAATCATGTCAACACTATATAGTGAAAAAAGGCCAGAGTTAGCAGATCTAAGAAGATTGATTCAAATTATTTAAGATGCTAGACATACTCAAACAGGTTGATAACCAGAAGAATGAGAGAATTTCAAAATAAAAGCTTGATTTTAATTATGTGTAGTATGGTATGCAGTTTGATAAAATTAATGTAAATAAAACTTTTTTAACTTTTTTTTTTTAATTTTAAATAAAAAAACCAGAGATCCCTTAAATTAAAATACACACAAATAAACAAAGTATACTTTTGAAACAGCAACCTTATCAAAAAACATGTTAACCCTAAGTCTTAACTGAAAAATATATTTAAAAAAATATTAATTTATTATTATAAATACTCCAATAAATCACTCCCTATAAGTATGTTGGTAGTAAAAAAAAATTAACAAAAACAAAGCAAACAGTTATAAGAAATATATGAATAAGATTATACCCAAAACAATATTAACAAGTAAAATAATTATATACTTCTATATTTGTTGAGTTGAGCTTTTCTTCCATTACTTGCTTTAATATAGT